ACTCTCAAAGCCGTGATTCCCATTCACCTCCATTATAAGACTGACAGACTGCAACGGTTTGTGTTAAAAATCTTCGTTTGTGTTCTACTGAAGAAACAAAGTCACCTACATCTTGGATGCCCTGGGGGTAAGCAGATAAACATCAAATTTTTATTTTTAGGTGAACTATCCCTTTAATGCAGCCACTGTTTCCAGCAAACCTGAAGAAAGATCTCTTAATCTATGTCTATAATCCTATGCCGCTGATGTAGTTTGATTCACTCTAAAATGCATTTTTCTAAAAGTTAAACAAGGTTAATTTGATCAAATTCTTTTGATATTCCTTATTTGGATAAAAGCATCCGTTAAATTAATGTCTGCACATGCCATATAATTGTATTATGCAAAATGCAAACTAATTGAAATTCACAAGTAAAAATTGACTTTTTCTGTTTTGTTTTAGCCACGGGAACAAAGAAGTTTTTTCCTGTCTGGGAATTCAGTTGGCAGTGAACTTCTTCCTGGAGCGGGGTCACGTTGACATCACGGTGTTTGTGCCTTCCTGGAGAAAAGAACAGCCGCGACCTGATGTACCCATTACAGGTGAGGAAAAGGGAATGCACCGTGTGTTAGGAACAATTCCTGCTTTCCAGAAGGATTCACATTCCTGTAAACAAAGTCTGTTTCCTCTTAGCAACCAAATGGCTGAAAAGAGACTTGCAGACCTATTATACTAGAAGCCAGGTTCAACTAAAGTACACATGGAATACAGTTCTGGTTTTTATGACTGGTTTTAGAACTGGAAGTATGGGGGAAAACCCACATCGATTTTATTTTTGTAGCTGTTTGAATGAAGTGTCATAAGATATATTGGCAAATACCTGGGTTTTTTAAAACTGTTGTAACTTCCTTATAACATAATGAAGGTCGCAGTGAAAAAATACATCCACTGCTTTTGGTAGGTAAGATATACCAGACTGTTTGATCTGCATGTTTGCCAAACCCTCCTAAGTTTGACGTAACTAGAGTGAAATAATGTAACCCTGTGTGGTTGTGGTGATAATACTCCGCATCCCAAAAAATTTGTCTCAACAGTTGACATTTAACTATGCGAAAATGTGTAAGTATGTTTGAATTCCTGCTTCTCCTGAAATAAACTGTTTATGTGTAAATGGGCACTTGTCCAATGAAAATCACAAGTAAATTAAAATGCCATGAATCTTTTATCCCTTGGGCTGTTCATTACAGCTGGTAAAAAGTGTAACTGAATGCCAAAAAGATCTTGTTTAGTTTCAACAGAATAGACACTGTGTTCCAACATGGAACGTCAATCATTGGTGATGTCAAATTAATTACATGATACGCTATTAATTGCATATGTTAATCAGTATTTGCTGAGAAACTACCTTGAAGGACATTACATAATTGTGGAAGACAAAACATTAATTTAATGTTGCCAAAAAGTGCCTTTAGAAGTCAGTATATTGCCTACTTTATTTCCTTATCATGAACATAAACCTCATAAATCTCTAGTTTTTCAATCTGTCAAAGGTTTGCACAAAACAAAACATATTTTTTCTAATACCTGGTCTTTATATATATGTATCAAGTCAAGTCAAGTCACCTTTATTTATATAGCGCTTTTAACAATACAGATTGTGTCAAGTAAACCTCATAAATCTCTAGTTTTTCAATCTGTCAAAGGTTTGCACAAAAAAACCCAGATATTTTTTCTAATACCTGGTCTTTGTATATATGTATCAAGTCAAGTCAAGTCACCTTTATTTATATAGCGCTTTTAACAATACAGATTGTGTCAAAGCAACTGTACAGTATTAATTAGGAAAATAGTGTGTCAATAATGCAAAATGACAATAGTAAACACTCAATTTTCAGTTAAAGGCAGTTCATCATCCAGCTCAGTCCAGTTTAAATAGTATCTGTGCAATCAAGTCGACGATATCGCTGGAAATTAAGTCAGGGGGCCAGTTCTCTGTCCAGACGAAACCAGCAGTTCAGTTTCAGGCTGCAGCAAAGTCAGATTGTGCAGAGGACTCAACTGGTTCCTGTGGTCTTGTCCCGGTGGCCGTCTAGGAGACAAGGTCTTCACTGGGGAAGGATCTGTCTCT